CTGGGAGTTGCAGTTCAAAAACACCTGAGTAACAAAGGTTAAGAACCACTGCTTTAAATGACTGATTGTGACCAAGAGCATTTTTAAAAGGAGCATTTTCTTCTGTTTTACTTCTGCTTTCATTGTATTGTTCTTATTATGAGTTTCAATATGATAATTGTTAATATTGTAATTATTTAATTTGTTTTTAACTTTGCTTCTAATACTGTATTGCAATTAATTGGTTTTTAACTTTGCTTCTTCTAATACTGTATTGCAATTAATTAATTGGTTTTTAACTTTGCTTCTTCTAATACTGGATCCTTTAGCAGAAAGATGGCACATCCATCCATCCATCCATCCATCCATCCATCCATCCATCCATCCATCCATCCATCCATCCATCCATCCATCCATCCATCCATCCATCCATCCATGGAACGCAATTCTCATCTTTCCCCATTGTTGTCTTACCTAACTTTAGCTGTGGCAGGCTGGGCACCTCCTTCCTGATGACGGCATAGTGCATATGGAGTCCTCTGCACGCGCTCAAGAGCAGGAGGCAAAGGTCTTTATGCCACCTGTGGGCATGCTGCATGCAATTTTCTGATGGGACATAGAAGCTGCCCTGCACAGGAAGGGGAGGGGGGAAAAGTAAGATTGGAAAAGATTATGAGAATTTCCATTTTATGAGAAACTCATGACGCACTGAATCGAGAAGAGTCCAGCAGGAGAAACAGCTGAGGGATTCAACGGGAGACCTAATAGGAGACTTTAGTTAATTGACGTGTAGTTTGGGGACATGGGTCAAATCTCAGTACTAGTCAGGAGTACTCTTGGGAAATTCTGAACTTTTTGGATCTACATGTCTTTTTGTGGCACGGTTTCTTTCAATGTGCCACTGAACTTCTTTCAAAATGTGGTAAGCCACCTTTGCTATGCTTTGGGTCTCTTCTGCCGACATTCCCAAATGGGCTCTTGACTTCAGCCCAAAAGGCACCCCTCAGGCTGGGTTGAACATTCAGCCTTTTCTTCACTTGTAATCTTCTAGTTTACTTCCCAGATGAAGCAGGCCGACGCTGGGGAGCGTATAAAATGACCTGGTCAATTTGTGTCTCAGACACATCTCTCCAAAGTTGCAGCTTATTAGTAGCACTAATAAGCAACCAAGACATTTCCCCATTCCCTTGATGAAGGGATACCTCAAAAAGAGCTTTCCCTTCCAGTACGTTCCAGGACTAATTGAGGGTCTGGAAACTTTCTCAGGGCAACAAACAAAAATGGCTTGGGATCCTGAACAGGTGGGCCTTACCCCCTACATTGTGAAGATTCGTCATGTGACAGTTCCACAGAAGGCAAATTAAGAGAGAGAGGGAGCATGGCTCTGGCTTTAAAAAAAACAGATCTCATTAGAGCTTCTGGCACTCCTTTCCCTTGCAAAGGAGTGAGGTAAAATAATGACATCGCAGTACGTTGTTAAACATACCCATGTTCTGAAAGTAAAGTGATTGGGGACAATCCCTGCTAGCAGTCATGCTCCAGTAGCTGGAGAAAAGGCAGATTCTGTACTTTCACTTCCATAAAAAGTGGCTGCTTTGAGTCAGTATGTGATGATCCTGACTCAGGCTGCCCATGAGAAAGAGATAGCTGTTGGGTACTATCATAGTTAGAGTATGGGCATATTACTCATAGGATAAATTCCTGTCCAGGTAAGAGGAATTTCACAGATTCTCCCTATACTACTATTCTCACAATCCATCACACAACTGGTTAGCAGAACCAATCTTTCCAAATGCACAATCAGTGCTATGAGACAAGACCGACAGAACTGGGCATGATTAATCTCGAGAAAAGAAGACTTGAGGCGAGGCAGGATAGAACACTTCAAAGGTAGACATCCAGAGGAGGGGCAGGATCTGTTCTGGATCATCCCAGAGTGGAGGACACGTAATAATGGGCTCAAGATACAGGAAGCTAGATTTAGGGTGAATGTCAGGAAAAAAAAAACTTCTTAATTGTTAGAACAGTACAACAATGAAAACAATGACCTCAGGAGATGGTGAGCGCTCCAAGGCTGGAGGCACTCAAGAGAAAATTGGACAACCCTATGTCAGATTGGATTTGACCTGGATCCTTGCTCTTGGTCAGCGCTCCAAGGCTGGAGGCACTCCAGAGAAAATTGGACAGATTGGATTTGACCTGGATCCTTGCTCTGAGCAGGGGGTTGGACTTGATGGCCTTATAGGCCCCTTCCAATTTCATTGTTCTATGATTCTATGATTCTACTAGTATTCACATGAAGGAAAGACAGCCAAAGGGAAACAAATGCTTACATGATCACCCTCATGCAGGCAGGTTAAGAAACAGGATTCTAATCTATATATCTCTGCCTCAACTTCACTGTTTGCTCTAATTCTGTCTGTACACTTTTTCAATGTGTACATTTTAGCTGTTTGTGTTTTGAAATGTGTGAGTTGTTTCATGCACTGTTCATTTCTTGGAAACTCCTGGCAAGCCTCATTATCATGCATTTTCATTCTCCCATCGAGAAGTGCAAAAAGGCCGCTTTCATTGGTGGTACTGAATGCAACAAAAGCACCCACTGTCCCTGGATCACTTGTGGTTCCAGAGTTCATATCTGGAAGTAGATGTTGTAATTTTGTGCATGAAAGGTATTCGTTGTGGGGTTAGCTGAAAACAGGCACCAACCCACTGGCAAGGTACATTCTGTTCTAATGGGATTCCTTGCCTTTAAGCAGGACTTCACTGGACCGCCAGTGCTGGATGCCTTCCTGGTTACGGACGGTGCCAGGGTTGGGTCAGCAGGCGAAAATCCTCTCCCACTTCACATGTGGTGAAAATTATTATTATTATTATTAATTATTATTTATTCCATTTATAACCCGCCTATCTGGTCAATTTTGACCACTCTAGGCGGCTTACACCACAAAAAACAAAATACAGGAACAATATATAAATAAAAAGGAATTTGTACACAATTAAAAATTCTATAAGATGGAAAAGGAAAAAAACATAATAAAGAAGGCAAGCGAGAAGGTTAGGGGTTAACTGGGGGGAAGGCCTGCCTAAACATCCATTGTTTTCAGTTGTTTCTTGAAAATACCCAGCAAGGGAGCCACACGAATCTCTGGAGGCAGGTTGTTCCAGAGGCGAGGAGTCACCGCCGAGAATGCACGGTTTCTTGTTTTTTCCTTCCGGGCCTCCCTCAGCGTCAGGCTCCTCAGCCTCACCTCCTGACTCGCACGGGTGACACGGGTAAAACTGGGTGGGAGTAAGCGTTCTGTCAGGTATTGAGGCCCTAAACCGTTTAGGGCTTTATGCATAAGCATCAGAACTTTGAAGTCAATGCGGAACCGAATGGGCAGCCAATGCAGCGTGGCCAGAATAGGAGAGATGTGATGGTATTTTCTCACTCCACTAAGGAGTCTGGCCACCGCATTCTGCACCACTTGGAGTTTCCGCATCAACTTCAAAGGTAGCCCCATGTAGAGCCACTACAGCTGCTCCCTGCCATGTCACCAGCCAGTCATGGCTGAGGCAGTGGCCAGCCACTGACATGGTTTTATGGAAGCTGTTCTGCAGTTTTAAAAAGTGCAGATGGGATTTTTCAACTGCAGTAGGGCTTGTGACAAAAGCTATCAATTCTACCCATTTTTCTTTCCAGTTTTCTTTCCAGAGATCATAGTTTTGGCCCATGCTTTGCGACTGCCATCCTGTCTTCCCTTTATTCAGCGTTACTTCTGTAAATCTTCTGTTTTATATTCCCCATGTTCTGATGTGTCTTCTTCAGCCACGCCTGATCCCCTCACTCTTTCCACAGATTGAATGAAAGAATTGCAGTTCCACATGAATGTTTTTCATATATCTGTTCTTTCTATTTTGGTAATAAGCTGCTTATTCCCGTTCCTTAAATGTTGGCTCGGCTCGTTTTTACCCTTTTCCCCCAGCCGAATGTTGAGTTCAAGCTATGTCGTAACCCATAGGAATACAAGCACTAGGCAGATATTTATTCCACCCATTAATCCATCTTGCCCAATATTGCCAATTCTGATCTGCAGCTGCTCTCAAAGGTCCCAGACAGACTCCCCCCCCTCCAAAAAAAGACCCACCTGGAAATCCTTATAATTGCTTTATGTTCTCTTGTCAAAATACAAGCCGGGCCCCAACTCTTTTTAAAAAAAAACCTTTTATTAAATTTTCAATCAATCTACATTGAATCATGCTTATTAAACATTGTGTTGCTTACAATCATTTGTTTGTTGCATCTTGGTGTCTTCTCAGTTGTCGCCTCACAATCTATACATTTTTTAAACATTTAAACCATTCATGTGTGTGTTTTAGTATACAATATTGACTAGTTTTATACAAATTTTCTTTATATAATTGTTTAGCCATTTCTGTCTCCGCATTTTCTATCATGTCTATATCAACATCATATCTAATATATATTCATTAAGTACCATTTGTTTTGCCCCATCTTTATCTAAATTTACCTTAAATGCCACCATGTTATGCCTTGACCCTGATTAATGATCCCTTATTTCAGTTTAATTCCCTTTTTTAATATATGAGATATGCCCCTTTACCATTCCAGAAGTTAAATATATACATGCTTTCAACAGTGGGGCCACCTTAATATTTTCTCCTTTTTCATCTTTTTCTAAGTGATTCCGTCTCTTATTTGTATTTTCCCAATTCTTGTTTCTATCTCCCTAAATATTCTGCCATCCCTTGTGTCATCTGAAAGCCTTTTGTACACTTGACCAATCTCCAACAGATCTTTATGCATTGGATCCATCTCCAATAGATCTTCCGGGCCATTTTTAATTAATGCTGCTGATTTCCCCCCTTATCTTTCCCTAACACAGCCAAGTTTCTCCCTGGCTCTCCCGAGCCTCCCTCTCCGATTTTCTCCAGTCCCTCTTATCCTTGGCATACATCGTCATCCACCTTCACATTTCTTTGTTCAATATTTTCTGCCTCTTGCTGAATATAATCCTTCCTAAGTGTTTCCATGAACAACCACATGTCTTGGTTCTACACTATTTCTAAGATTGCTTACAGGGCAGATTTTGCCTCCTCCCAAAATTTCCATTGTTGTGACATCATGTCTTCAGATGCCAGGCACTTCCACTTCAGGTGAAGAATGCCCAGCAGCTTAGAGCAGTCAGTCCAGTACCATCAATAGTTGTCTCAGTAAGTTGATCACCTGTAGGGTTAATTGAATCCAGTCTCTGACGTAGTTTGGCAGTCCCGTTCACTCAATGTTTGCATTAGACTTTCCAGAGTTAATTGTCTATGTTTTAGTCAGTTCTCAAAAAAAAGAAAACACCGGAAAGACAAAACAGAGTTTCCAATCAGGCTTCTAGGTTTTTCCAGGGTCATGTTTCTAGGCTCTTTGCCAGCACTGTAGATAGACATTACTCTGAGGGTTGTTTGCAGAAACAAATTTAAGAGGAAGATTTCTTAAGTATAACATCAAAGTAACATAGAACTTCTTTCCTCGCATAATTGTTTAATTAATGTCCAATTTATTTTCTTTGCTTCTCTTTGTGTCTCCCCTTCTCCAGATGCACCGCTGCTCAATTTAGAGCTGGAGCTAAGAGA